CCCCAAAACCCCAAAACCCCAAAACCCCAAAACCCCAAAACCCCTGTGATTTTAAGAACAGTTGAAGACAAGAGCTTGACTAATATCGATAACTGCGTACATTGTTAGTGACTATCTTGGGTTTGGCTTTGCCAAACCCAGTATCCCTCATCGCAGAATATATATCAGGCTTTTTCTTTTCTTCTTTGGAAGTTTCCTTTAAATTATAGGTCTTTCTCCTCTTGCTAACCTTTGTTTCCTCTCTTGGTTTTTTCAAATCAGGCTTAGGCATAGAAGGCTCCTTTGGTACCTTCTTTTCCTCATAAGGAGTAGTAGGTTTTGCCTTTTTATAATCTTTTTGAGTTGTCCTGAACTTTTCTGCTTTGGTCATTCTATGGGCTACTTTTTCCTCTTCAATCTCTATCTTGCCTCTAAGTGTTTCTCTCTCTTTCTTCTTCAGTAACCAATCATAGGTGAAATCATAGGCATATCCTTCTTGAGTCATGAGGTCTGAGAACATTCTGCGATACCCAGAGTAGTCAGGCTTGTCTTCAAAGCCAAGATTCCTTCAGCTTTCAAAGAATTTAGAAAATTCTTTGGGATAGCCCTTACATAGCTGCTCAATTGTTACTGAGGCTTTCTTATCTTTAATTTTTTCATATTTCTCATCTTTTGTCTTAGCTTGAATTCCCATCCAGGGGAGTTTACCACGGAGAAAATACATGAGGACGTAACCAATTCCTTCGATGTCATCTCTTCTAGACTGCTCCACTCCAAGATGTGTGTTTACAGAGGCGTACCTAGCTGTTCCTGTGAGGCTCTTTCCATCTCTGTAGGGAATATGATCACCGGTTTTTGAATTTCTGAACCTTTTAGCTAGCCCAAAATCTATCATATAGATCATATGCGCCTTTTTGTTAAGCCCAATCAGGAAATTATCCGGCTTGATATCCCTGTGTAGGAAATTTTTAGCATGGATAAATTCAATTCTTTGTATCAGCTGGTCAGCAATCATTAGGACTGTTTTGGTAGAAAACCGGTTTTCACAATGTTTGGCAAGGTCTTCAAGACTAGGTCCTAGAAGCTCCATAACCATAACGTTGTAGTCACCTTCAGTACCTGACCAATATACTTTTGGGATTCCATTACCACCTGCAAAGAGTTTGTACAACTTTGTTTCGTATAAAAGTTGGGGGAATTTAGTCTTAACAGGCTCAAGCTTAACAGCAACTTCTATATATGCTTCTTAATATCTTCTGCAAGGTAAATATCTCCAAAGGCTCCACTGCCTAACTTCTTTTTGAGCTTGTATTTGCCTCCAACTCTCAGGTCCATTTCTTAAAATATTTAAATTATTTCTCGTGTGGGATGTTAGTGGGGTTTTGGGGTTTTGGGGTTTTGGGGTTTTGGGG